AATGGAATAAATCATGGGGAATGGTCAGCATAATGGACTGCCAATGAGTTATTGATAAAAGTAGCTATTATTACTATTAATTAGCAATAGGCATGTGATAATTATTCTCATACACTATATAGGCAAACATAAAATCATAATTATTTTGTTCATCCTTTCCTGGCTTTTGTTAAATAATAATTTATAAGAGGCTAATTCTATGGCTGCAAATTCTTAAAATGTCACTTAGAAAACTCCTTTACTCACAATAACCCTTAATCTTCTAGAAACACAATCATGTGCAGAATGTAAACAACAATAAAATTAGATTACCATGTTTCTATTGATGACAGACTATTGGACCACAAAAAGATAAATATAGCCTTCAAATGCAGCCTCAGACCATAATTTGATGCACACTCACACCAATTTACATATTTCTCATACATAGATTTCTTGGAAATATTCCAGTTGGACAAAACTGTATTTTACTAAATTAATATTACAGTGAGAAAAACAATGTCAGATAATTTATTAGTGTCCTAAGCTTTGCAGAAATGATAAAACAAGTTTAAAATAACTTCTGGTAATACCAATTGGTATAACTGAATTAACCTGTGACCTAAAATATGCAATACACAATTAAATACATCTTAACATGCAGAAAATCTAGCCACCTCACTCAAGATCATATCTCTTATCATCTTGGAAATCTGATACATCATTCAAAACGACTATCTGAATTACAGAATGCCTGAAGCCCTATTTGTAGGGAAGATTCCAATGGCATCTAGTCTTATGTCACTCACAGGCAAATTCATCTGCCTTAAGACAAAATTAAGCTTCTTCTTACGTATACATCTAAATTTTCAATACAGGCAAACTCAGAATTAGAGCTCCTAATTCCGCTGGCTCACACCTCTTTCTGGTCCTTCTCCACTCCTCACCCCCCAGACAACCAAAAATAAACACTCAAACCAGTACTATATGAACTGACTGACCAATCGTGGGCTCCCAGGGACTTAAGACAACCAGGAAAAACAAAGATGGAAAGAATCACTGCTTTGCAAACAAGGCCTTAATTAGGTCCGTAAATAAAAACCCTTTTACTGCTCCAGCCCTGAGTCCTTCTGAAGGAAGATTTCCCAACTACTTCTCACACTGACACAACACAAACATCAACACACAGCCTCTAGCAAACCGAGGCGTGAACATACACCCGCACGCTGGAAATCCTCTCGATGTCCCGTTATCTAAAAAAGCATCACCACTGAAAGTCCTAGGTCTTAAAAATTATACTGTAATAATATAACAAGAAATTTCTATTCCATCCTATCCTGGAAGACGAACTGCCCCGAAGACAAGGAAAAACAGGTAAAATAAAAGCCACAGTTGATGTTTTCAAAACCATCCATGAGTCTCCCCCGAGGCCAAGCTTTCATTGTTTAATGGTAACTACACAATTTATTAATTCCCTTGGAAACAACGCTTCCAACAGTGCTCTTCGGCATGCGGGTCAAGCATTCACTTAGGCGACTTTATACTTTTGCCTGCTTATGTTTTCTAATTCAAAGATGTATAAACTGGGCGAAACCAACAGTTAACTGCAACAATAACAATTCAGAGAGGCTGGAATGGAACATAAAAGTATGAAGAGTTGAAAGTTTTGAAATATGAAACATTCAAACAACTTTTCTAACTAAGGACCATTTCACGTAGGAAATGAAAAAGCACAATATTTGAGGCTGTAGCTCAGTGTCTCTCTGTCTTTATCCCTTAGATGAACCATGAAAATAGGCGCTAGCCTGTGAGTACAGAACCTACAAACATCGAGTCTTATGATAATTTGGCAGCAGACCCAAGAAGAAACTTAATATTCTCTGCCTCGCCATTCCATTCCCTTCTTGTTTGTTCTTCAGGTGAAGTTATGGTTTTTGATACAGGAGATTTTCATGTTTTCTTAGCCTCATTATAGGGACAAGTGGTGGCAGGAAGAGAAAATGGCCCTGAGTGAGAGAAGACAATCAATATAAATGTGGGCACAGCCAAGAGCTGTGTAAACTGTGAGGAAGTTTTGTTGACCGAATTAAGGAGACCAGCTTCAACGAGGCTGCAGTGAAGTCGCTCAAATATAAATCACGGCCTAGAAAAGCTAGAAAGAAATATGTGTTAGGGAGTTAAGGGGAGGTGATTGATATTTTAAACGCTCTTTGAAATTTTAATGAATTTCTTGTTTTTCATTCTTCTGATTCACTGGTAAACGCTGCTGGCTTCAAAATAAGTAAGATTTTCAAAGAAGGAACAGGAAAATCTATAATGATTATACCCCAGGGAAGCCTGCCAGACATGATGACTTCACTAATTTAAGCTTCACTCCTCTAGTGGTGGCTGCGAGGAATGAAGCCAACGCATTATAGAACATGTAAGTAGCATGATGAATTGATTCACAAACTGAATAATAACCCAGAACTTTCTAATACTGTTTGCATCTACTAGTAAACAGGCATGTAACAGGGATCCTGAAGAAAGTTTGAGTCCACATTTTCAAACTGCACGCTAAAATAAAACTGAATATGCCAGTAGATTGACTAAAATCCCATTTTATTTTTCGGACAATTTATACTAACGTCTTCTAACATCAATTTTGAATGACTGGAACCCTTGACATCTTTTGACTTCTCTTAACTACTAGAGCCCTTGCCACGTCCACCGCTGAAGAATGCCTGAAAACAGAGTGAAATGAGTGTGTATTTATCTGAAATTGGCCTAAAACTTTCATTTCCAACATTTAAGATAATTAAGATTATTTTAAGGATAAGGAGTAATTTTTAAATATTTTCCAAATTGAATGGCTCATCCAATTACACAATTATTCAATATATTTTATTATTTTGAACTTATTTTAGTTGTGCAAAAAAATATTCCTGAATCTGAACATGGTATCAGCTATTAAGTATGAATACTCAGAAACATAGTACCACCCCACAAGCCCTTTAAAAACAAACCACACGTCATTCACACAGAGCCCCCCACGGGGGAAGTCCCCCCACACACACTCAATTTCATTATAGTGTGGTGCTTATTTTGTCCCAGACAATATGCCTGTGAATGATGACAAAATGAAACATCTTCCCCTTACTTCATTTCTTCATCTATAAGAAAATTAACTACCATTATATCATAATTAATCCCATCAATATGTATTGGTATATTCTGTTAAGCAAAATAATTTGACATGCTTATTCTTCTATATATTTAAGTTACTTTAAATGATTATCTTATTTGAATTTTTCAGTGATGAGAACTGTTACATATTTGGCCCCCCCTGGCTCTCGTCAGTGGCTACTTGCTCAAGGTCAGTGTATACCTGCTCAAGGACACTGGCGTGGGGCCCACTAGCCTGGGGACCTCTGTGATTAAGCACACCCCGGTCTACACTGTGGCCTAGCCATCCTTCTACCTGCATCTGAATTCCAAAGGAGAGGAACAAAGGACTGCTTGCCTTTTATTTGCTTTATAAAATCTAGTTAAACCCTAGGATTGTTTTCCTTTTAATAACTTAAAATTCTTTGTTATCACCTATCGAAATGGGAAGAAAAGAGTTTCAGATGAAAAGGCACCTTATTCAGAGATTAACTTTTGCTAGGTCAGCGAAGTTTCTACTTTTGACAGTGACCATCTTTCATGAACTCTGGTAATGAAAGTATTTACTTAAATGGAAAATACAGAGACTACAAGGGTGGGCAAACGTAGGTTTACAGTTGTGAGTACATGAAACAGAGTTTATTATTATTTATTATTTTCCATACAAGCCACTGTAAATCTATGTTTTCCCATCCCTGTATTTACACTTTAAAAACAACAGTCACAGTATAAAAATTAAGATGTCTCACATGAAAAACAGCTGATTTTATATTTTTTCTAGTATCATAAATTTCATAACATTAATAGTTTCAAAAGCCTTCACTAATACATATGGAAATACTGAACCAAACAATTTCATGGCATTTAGTTTTGTTTATTTTTAAGAAATGTGATAAAAGATCACAATGGTGATTGGAAAATGATGTTTATGGATGAAATTCTAACATGAATAATTTATTGAACTTCTAGTGAAACTTATGCTCCAAGTTCATCAAGGTCCAGAGGTTTAGGAGGGAATAAATAAGCAAAAATATAATCTGTGAAGAAGTAATTTTTCATTAGGCTAAGGTGGAAACAAATAGATTACAACATGTAATATATCCTTCCATATGCTAAAGTTTTAAAAATATACACAGTATCTAAGTATGAAGAACAGATTACAATACATAGATATATATAGTCTTATTTACATGTTTAGACTTATGCATATGTGGATCAAAGTAGGTATTTTTATTTACATAACCTATATATAAATATTCATGTATTAATCATACACAAATAATTGTAATAGTACTATGTTTTAAATATAGTATTTAACCTTTAAGAAGCAAATACATTTTGTGTATCATCCAAATGGGGTTGTATATTTGTAAACAACAGATTTCTTTTTTTAACTTCTTTATAACTTAATGTCCAAAGTGCCAAGACAGGCACACAGATTCTTGTACTGATATTTAGAAACAATTCAGTCCAATGTTATATGTATGCAACAAATAGTTTAGTAACAAAAGGGAAAGCAAAACAAAGGAAATAATTCTAAATTTTCATTACTCATAAAGCAAAACACTGCAAATTGATACTGTGTTGTGGAAAATGGTCAGGAGGAGATACAACAAAAAGGTTCGAAATGTTATGCCCACCCCATATGTATAATATGCATACGTATGTATCTATGCAAAATAAACCCAGTCCATGTAGTGTTATAATAACCTAGTGACGTGCAGCTCCTAATGATGAGTACTGATTCATAAGTCAAATTACGTAAGGAGAAACAGAACAGTAATTTCATGGATTTGAACTCGTAACCACCGAACAACAGAGCATACAGTCATGAAGAAGCAAGGTGCAAAGTAAACAGTGAGAAGGCAGACACTCACCTTCGGTGCCATTGGGAGTCATGGAATTACTATTTATATGAGAGTTATCGAGTTTGGGGCCACTGGGGGAGTCACTACTACCACTCAGACGGCTATGCGGGCTGGTTAGATCCTGCATTTCCATAGACCTAGAGACAAGAAGCCTTCCGTTTGACAGATGTACCAAATTCATAACGCCGCTATTTAATGCGCTAACGACTTGACGCCTCTGGAACACATTCGCACAAAAGTCCCATTGTATCTCTTTTCTTAGACTCAAAATAGTTCATCTTACATTTTACCTCCAGTCACCCTTTCATAACATGTGGTAATGAAAGGTGTCAGCCACTTGCCTTACCTATCTAGCCAAACATTCACAGGGGGCTTTTAAAATCTTTTTTTTTTCTCCTCTTATAGGGCTCATCAAGGCACAGATCAAAAGAGACAATTACATCTAATTTAATCTTTTTTAAAAAATGTAGTCATGCTTCTTTTACATTAAAAAAGGCATCATTTTTCTAAAAGAAAAAATGTGTAAACAAGTAGGAAAAAACCACCCTTCTATGGAATCTGTTTGATCTAATAAATTAGCACTAAGTACTCCTTTATAATTTACCAACCAATCGTAATTTAATGGGTCCCCAAACCAAATAAAACACTCGGAGCCTATAGTCTAATGACAGAGAATGAGATAGTTCTGCTGAATGTGTTTACTCTGGCAAACTGCTTAATTGTCCCTCTGTTTCCCTTGAAACAAATGCAGCATTAAAACATTATGATGTCGGCTCTCCTGTTTGCTTTGTGGATTACACACAGCGTGCCCAATTGAAAAGGGATAAGGCCCACGTACAGGAGTCCTGTGAGCATTAGCACTTGGAATACCTCAACTGTCACTCAGGGAAAGAACAATTCCACTTCAGTGCTCCAAGCATTTTTACCCTATAAAAACACTCCCACCTCCCCTGAAAGTCCTTAGACCCAGCAGTTACTTACTCTATAAAAGGTACAAAAGCCACTACTCATGTGCCCAAGTGTACAGCTATCCATGTGTATTTAACATCTCAGTAAAGAAGAGAGGATTTATTTAAAGTGACTAAAAACATCCCTAGATACCATCTTGTTTTTAAAGCTTTTGAGAATCGAAGACTCATTTACTTTATTTTAAACGTATGTGTATTTTTAAGGGGGGGGGGGGAGAGCATGTTTAATATCCTATCTATGAAGCTAAGACTAAAAGTTAGTCATTTTAATTTGGAGGTTGCACTTAAACTGATTTTCAATGGCTTAAGATGAACCATTTTTCTTCTAGGGTGAGTTTTTATTTCCCCCAGTCATCTGAATTCAAACTAGAAATGACTTAAAAATCTAATTTCTCTTTTCTAAATTCCCTTTACATTCACAGTTTTCCTAACTCCAGAAACCATAGCCCATAATCATTTTCAAACCCAGGCTCCTATTCCCTTTCTACATACTCAAAATGTTTTACACACTTACACTTACACACACACACACACACACACACACAGTGCTAAGTAATTTCCAACAGAGGCCGTTGCTATTAATAGCAATAATTAAGAAATACTAGACAAAAATAGATATGGGTCACAGAGAGGTAATCTCCCAAAATGTCAAATATCAACAATATCCTTACCTGCAACTTGAGGAAACAGCAACATCTGAACTGGTTTGAGGTGTTTGCACCTGTGATCAGGGGTAAAAAATTAGAAGCTGTTGTTAACTCTGCTTCGGTGTCAGCTCTTAATTACACAGAGCACATGGCAGAGAACCACAATGCTCCCTTTTAACCAAAAGAGAAAAAGGAGGATACTGCAGCCGTGAAAGGCATATTGTCTTTAAGTTGAGGTCTCTACTGTTGTTTCCTCCTGCAGGTCTACCCTCCTCCTCCCCTGGTCAGGGGGGACGGCGGCCAAATGACTGGATAGTGATTCATCACTGGCCTATGACAGCTGCAAACGGATTACCCCTCCCCCAATCAACATGCAAAGCAGCCTGGCCCAGGCAGCTTGGAAAAGGTGCTTGGAGGGAAAAAAAATCGCTAGTAGCAAAATGAGTGTGTTTCACAGCAGTAGCCCAGGCCACAGGGTCCTCCAGCATCCACGGATCTTTCATCTGCTGCTCTCACCAGCTGAAGCAGAGTTCCCGCCCACCCCTCTGACTCCCGACAGTTTCTTATCCTTATCACCAGTTTTCTGCTATATTGACTGCTTGTCATTTCACATTCACTGAAAGGGCTTTTGGGCAACTTCCAGGCCCCGCTGGACTCCTTACAAAAGGCAAAGGCAAGTTTTCATCCCCCAAGCCCCATCCCGGAGCGCTATGCTCGTGTACCCACGCAGTTTTACAAGGCAGCCACGCGTACTCCTCAAGGCCTGATCAAGTAGGGAGAGCCGTTCGCTTTGATCTGATTTTCCATCTTTTAAACCGAGAGAGAATGGATAAGACAGTCATCAATCCGTGTCCCAGGTAGCCAGCCTGTCGCTGTCTGTTGTCTCCAGAAGAATCTGGATTTCGGGACTTCACCGGACAACAACTAACCTAACAGGCAGGGCAGCCGTTGCTAATCTCTGCCCACCCTCCAGAGGCAGCGCCAACGCCAACGACCAGCAGGTGAGCAGCTCAGGCGAAGGTGGGCTGCTGGCTCCCACGCTCAGGCTGATGCCTCAGCTGTAAAGGGCATTCTATTCTGCAGGGCGTTCAAAACGATTCCGAATTCCAAACCTTTGATGTGCATTTTCATTCAACCTGAACTGACATTCATTAGGGTCACAGGACCAAGTTGAGAACTGGAGCACCCCACATGGCATTAAAGTTATCAGGCCAAGTATCTACGACTGAGTCCTGTTCTTTTTCAATTATGATTTATGAAATTAAGAAATACTACCTTTCTGGCCAGCATGAAGCATCGTTAAAGTCGCCATGTTTGGTGAATGTTACGTGCGATTTCTGGGTATGCTTTTCTAGAGTGCGTGCAGGATGAAAATTAAATTTTAAGAGATGCCTGAACATTAAATGAAAATTTAATGTGAATGCTTGTGGATATGTCGTTCTGTGATAACAGGCTTCTGCAATTTTTGTTAAAATTAATGTTCTACACAAGGTTGAATGTTTCCCCTTAGGAACTGCAGCAATATACCTAAGTACACCTGGAATAAATTATAGGTGAGAACTAACTTAGTTTTAAGAACTCTCTTGGCTTAATTATGTGAAAGAGTATGTAAAACATACTTTCTGTTTAATGTTAAAAGTGTTAAAATACATTGCTATTTTAACATTAGCTAGATTGTATAAGCTTAGAAATGTAACTTTGGTTCCATTATATACTTAGAAAGTTTGATTATATTTATATTTGAGGTTTAACCTGTCATATTTAAATTTCAAAGTCAAACTGTTCATTGGAGTTCAAAATAAGAATTATTCTAACATGTTTTCTCACTAAAAAATGTATTAATGTATTTTCACAACATCTTTCCTTTCTGCTGACTCGACTCAGTCTCTACTGTACTTTTTATACACTACAATTTTTGAAAGTCCACATTCACGATCTTCATTTCATTAAGTAGACTTCAGATATATTCTTTTGTGTCTCAAGGATTATTTAAACCATGTGTTGTGTGTTACTGTATTTAAAAGTGACTCTTTAATCAAAATAACTTTAAAACAACTAATCCTCACTTAGGCTGGTCAGCTGAATCCACATCGCGGTCCAGGAAAAATAAATCTACTCTCAAGAATGCGAATGCAGACAACAATTAGACACAGATGTGAACAAAATTAGTTACAGTTTACAAAATGCTACACTTCACATGCTTTTAGTTTTTTATGTGTAGTACAAGACTGCAGTGTAGTAAGGAAACATACTCTCATAATGACTTATCTAAAAAGAACACCTATTTCTGACTGGTGTTGATTTTCTCTTATATATGACAAGATCTCTGGAGATTGCTGTGTTTTCAAGGTCTAACACCCTAATGTGTTTCAAAAATAATTAGGCGCATTTCCATTCAAAAGAGAAAAAAATATTTCATGGTTTTCAGAAAAAAATGCTGTTAGATATCTGTAAGCTTACATTTTCTGCTTCCCATCCATAAAGGTAATGTTTCTTGTCTTCTCCTAATCTGGTATTTTTAATTCAAATGCTCCTATGAGTGCAACACTATTTCCCTTAACATTGTAAATGGTCACCTTATATTACAATGAAGTCATTTCACTTTAATGCTTTTTAAAACTCTTCCTATAGAATGAATGCTCAGAGTAGCATACAGCTACTGAAAACACAAAGAGAAAAAAGACAGCAGAACTTCTAAGGACTTACATTCAAGAATCCCAAACTAGTAACTCTGACTTCTGATTAGTTAATGAGGTCTTTTAAGTTTGCCTTTTTTCTAATTAAATTTATAATTCTTCACAGATGTAACTTTTGTTGATGTTCAATTTGTCTCTCTCATTTTGTTAAACCTCACATAGTACTTCGCCAATCCATTGAATAGCCACATTAAATCTGTTAATACCATGCTCTTCAACCCCAGAAATTATTTCCAGAAGGCAAACTTGCTTTGAGGGATCATCAAACAAGACTTAAGGTACACATTTTATCACATTTTCCCTACCACAGAGCTCAGGATGCAGAGCAAAATTCATGACTTTTGCACTGTTTATTATACTTTGCTAAATTACAAATCAAAAGCATCTGACAGAAGATCATGTATGAAGCCAAAAAGTTAATAATGTTCTGTGAAAAGTAAACTGTAAATGGAAAGGGATTCTAAATCTCAGCAGCACAGAGCAAATAAAATGTAGGTACTTGTCTAAAATTATGGGTTTTCCACAGGCTTTTCTGCTTGCTAGAAGCAATTTTTACAAAACGACTATAATTTTAAACTTACTTTCTTCAAACCAAAAAGAAATTTTCAAAGTGAAAGTACTGAACTTATCTAAATAAATAGAGTTGGCAGGCAAGCTAGTTTTGCCCAACCACAGATCAACCTGAGCACTCCCAAATTTGAAAGACAATGGCAATTTTCTCATCAGAATGCATTTTATAGTGAAAAAAATGTGCCTTGGGCACAAATCTGTTTTTTAATCAGAATGTATTCTTGCTAAAACTCTCTTCAATCAATATTTCTACCCACGGTGTCAATGCTCTGGTTAAAACCTAAACCTAAAACTGAAATAAACTTCTGCCAAGAAATGGATGGATGCCTTTGAAATGTTAACACTTATTTCCTTCTTTATCAAAGACTCCATGAAATAACGGCTTTCATACTATCACTGATTTTTAATGTAATATATATACTGTATTACTTTTTGAAGTATCTCATTTAAAGAAAATGACAAAAGAGAGTCCCGCTTGGACACAAAAACAAGTATTAAAATGGCACTGGTTCTACCTATAGTTTTCAAGGACTGTTTTCAAAATAGCATGTATTGTAAATGTCGAATACTTTTGATATTTGATTAAATGGAAGAAGTGGTTTTATTCCCTCTCTAAGCATTTTCCTCATTTCAAAGAACTCCTATAAAATACATTTTTGCATTCCAATGGAAATTTTCTTTTGAGAAAATCATTTATCATGTCTAGGAAACCCAGAGAGCAGCTGACTTGCCTTTGGCACTCTCAAACTGAACAGTGGCTCAATTAGGCTTCTCTGTCTGTCACCGCAGAGAGTTTTCAGGATTGAAAAGCCATGGCTGCCTGTTCACCCACTGAACACTTCGGGCCTTAGGAGAACTCATGCAGCGAGAAAGTCAAATATTTGATAATGAAAAAAAAAAAAAAAGCATGACTATTCATGTGTGCACGTCCTCAAATCCAAAGGGTGGGCGAAAACACTCATACAAGCCTAAAATAAAACCTACTCTGAAAGACACATTTAATAATAATAATAATAATAATAATAATAAAACCTCAAACCTATAAAACTACACTATGTGCTTAACTACCGACTTTTTGGACCCCTTGTCATTTTAAGAAATGAAACATACAAAACGGTTGTCTAAAGGCAAGGACAGCTCTGAATTTATCGAATTCTTGCAAATGCTCTGCTTAAGTGTGTTCAAAAACTCCTCCCAAGACACATACACCCACGAGTAATGGGCAATTCATATACTGATTCTGAACGACAAATATTTTAAATGATAATTCAAAAATTTAAGTCTGGTTAAATTTCAAGGTCCATTCAAGTCATATAAAATGTCAATAAGTGAAAATATTATTAATTTGGCAAATGTTTATAATTTCACTTTTGAAGATGAGCCTGTTTAATATAATGTTTGGAAATTTTGTTTATTGAAGCAAAAGGATTTCCTCCCTTTAAAAGCGGTGCCTATTTTTGTTGTCCTTTCAAAACGTTAATTTCTTCCTCATTTTCTCAGGTTAATCTGAAGTGTGTAGGAGAAATTATCTGGGTGTTGCAATGGAGATATATATATGTGTAGATACTGACATAGGTATATTATAGCTTTATTCAGTATCACGCGATCATAGTTGAGGTTTGTGCAGCAATTCAGAAAAGAGATATGAAGTAATCTCCCCGCGGGAGATTCTATTTATTGATCTAGATCACAACAAAAGTAATTGTGAACAATTAATTTGTAATTATCAGTCACTGGTTCTAATCGCTCGGATAACTTGGGGGCTGAGAATTAGGCGTGGGTGATGGAACCCTGCGGTTCATCAAGTCCTAGGTACAAAGTGTCATCATCTTCCCCATGCCCTTGGGTTTGCATGGTAAAAGAAACCAAAACAAGACCCAAAGCGCTCCTGGTATCCCGAGCTCTGCCCACCGGACAGCTGCTGTCCGCCCCTCCAATTTCTCCAACAGCCCGGCTCGTACTTACAGCGCTTACATCGGCGGCGTCCGCCCGTCCGCTGCGCTCCTCCGCCTCCCCCGGCTCAGCAGCCCTCGGCTCCGGCCATCCTGTCGCTCCGGGACGGGGGCGCGGGAGGGTCCGCTCTAGGGGCTCTCGGGGCCGCCGGGCGCTCCCGGAAGCCGAGCCCGGCCGCGGGGACAGCCGCCTGGCCGCTGCTGCAGGCTCGGGCTGCCGAGCGACGGAGCGAAAGCGCGGTCCCCAGCGGGCACCCCGCCGCAGCGGCCGGCCGCGGGAAGGCTGCGAGTCGGAAGTGGCACAGCGGAGTTCCCCCCTCGCCCCCAACTCGGAGCCATGGGCTCCCGGCGCAGCTCAGAGACCGCCCCGAGCCCTGCGCTCCCGGCGCCCGGCCGCCGCCGATCGCATCTGAGCGCCGCAGACAAAGAACCCGCAGCAGCTCATCCCGGCCGGGGGGCGCAGCCCTGTGGGTCTGCCCGTGCCGCCTGCGGGCTTGGGGCGGTGGTTTGTGCCACGCCAGCCACAGCTATTCTCTTGTCCTAACCTTATTGGTTTAAATGCAACAGTTGAAAGGAGCACGGCTGGTCTGACTCAACCGTGCTGCTTTAAAAAAAAATAAAAAATTATTATATAAATGAGCGCGCCCCGTGCTATCAGAATAAACAGCTGTGGGAGAAGAACTTCTCGGAGACACTGTCAACACACATCTCTGGCTACAGCAGCTACCAATTACGAGCGTTGGGGAGTCGTTACGCGTTATCTTTTATACTTTTCCAAAACTTTTTTTTTTTTTCAGGCCCTGAAACTTGGGGAAGTGATGCTTTTCAAATGCTGTTTTCTAAATGTAACAACTGACAGGTCTGGGGAAAATATAAAAAAAAAAAAAAGGAGAATGGCCGTTTCCATATTAAGTACATCAAGGGGGTGGAGGGGTGGGGGTGGGTAAGCAAACGTGTAAGCTATTATGAGTTTAACAATGGAAGCCTGAGCGTGATTCTGCAAAGTTCTCTGGGATGATGAGTTTTACCTGAACTACTTTTGTGGGTATGAACCAGGTAATATTGCGTTGTTAGTATTTTTAAATGATTTTTGGGGAAAGATGTGTTGTTTTACCTAGAACTCTTTACGGTCACTTCTTTAAAAAAAATTAGAACTAAACTCAATCTATGCATGAAAATCTATACTACGAGGGTTGAGCCATTCAGATTATGACTAAATTACAGGTCCAGTTTAAGATACTTAGTCACCATCATGTTTTAGGCAAATAAATGGCTTTAGTTGTTAAGATTGATGACTTAACCATTATATTGATCTCAAATATTTAAAGAAGGCATCACTTATGTGACTATTCTAATTTTACGTGCCAGCCCCATGCCACAGTTCAAACACCAGTGTTTATTTTTGATACTCCTCACTCATCAAAACCAATTTTGTACTCTAAAATAAAATCTTTATACCCACTGGATTGCCCTTAAAACTGTTTTGTCAGGACCAATAATACTGTTCTATGTATTTGTCCTCTTATTAGTAATAAGAAGGACCTTTTTCCTTAAGGTTCTCATCTTGATATAAAAAAAAAAACATTTAAAAAATCACAGTAACTTCTTCAATGATTTTATAATATGTTTTCAGACCACAAATTAATAAAGCAGATAGATCCAGTCTTACCTTTCCTTTGCTAATTTGTAAATGAAAGCACCATTCTGATGCAAACAAAACAAAAAGCTTCTAGTGATCAAAATTCAATATAGACTTCCCTCTTCTTTCCCCAGAAAGGATGCCAATCTGAATTCCTCCAAAAAGAGAGCTTAAACTGCACACTCACCTAGGATTTCATTTTGTATGGTAGCGGCAAGTAATCATGGGCTAGTCATCTACCATATTTGGGAAGGCAGGTCAAAAATCAGTTGATTGCTATTGGATCGTGCATATATGCGGCAGAAATAGAATGACGTTACAACTACAGCACTTTCTCAGACCAGAAGTATCAGTTATTCAATACACAGAAAATAAAATACGGCACTTAATGGAGGTTTCTAGAGCCATGAGTAAAATGTAATGTTACATTGATTCAATCTATGATATCAAACAATGACTGCTTTTGCTATCATATTTATTTCTAAGCTCCATAAAACCCCAAATTTGAAGTCCTGGTTGGAAAATTCAACCCTGCTTGAAACTTTACAGTAAGCTATTATAACTATGCTTCCCTTAATTTAAAAATTATTATCCATGTAAAAGGGTAAAATATTATCATTCTGATCCATGAAAGGCTGTATTGGCAAATCCAAAAGATACTCACTGTATGAAGTCAGTACTGCAAGGATATAATGTAAAGTACCTGACTTTTGTATATAATTGCCTACATTATAATCAGATTTATACATTAGTTTTTATATTGAAATTCAATTTTATTTATATAACACAGGATACTATTAAAGCAATGATGCATATAATTATGAAAAACATTATGAAAAGCATGAACATAAGGTGACCCCTAATTGACATGCTATAGGTCATGCGACATAATTATGTAGCAAAGAGCATAGTCGTTGGCTAAAAGAAATATCCATGTGCATATATAGCACTTTTAACTGGTTTCCTTTCCTAAATCAGAATGAGATGGATTAAAAATGATTACATGCTCATCCACAGATTGTCTGGTTACTGCTTTGGATATCAAATATGCAATAATTACCATACAACTTACATCCAACATATTCTCTGATAACTAGCCAAAATGTAAGCCATTACTAAAAAGACCCAACTTGTGGTTTACTGTTAACTTCCTATTTCTAAATTTCCACCAACTAGAATTACATACTTAACAACCAACTTTAAGGACCAAGGTGTTCCCTAAATAAAATCATATATATCACAACAGAAATTAGAAAAATTTGCTGAAATTTTACTATTAGTAAAGACAGATATTGGTAGGAAACATTACTATTTGATATTTCCTACAGAAATTTCAACACATATGACTAGGAGTAAAATATTTTCTAATATGATTTTCCTTCATAGAACAAAATTGTGTATATATATATAATTTTTATCTGGAAAAGGAAAATACTTGAAATAATCAGCTGTAATGAAATGTTTGAATACCTTCAAAGGGACAATATCTTTCCTATACTGTGTCTCCAAATAGGTTTTATCTTACAGAGCAAGCTGTTGCCTAGGACCTAGGTAAATGCCTGTTTATGTAGAAGTCTGCAATTTTGATAGAAATTGTTAGTGCTTCCCAATTAACAGAGAATTTTAAATAGAGGCATGATTGCAAAAATAAACAAATGCCCCTGGTTTTTAAAAATGCAAGAGCAGATGTAAGGGATTCATTAGAACAATCAAAAAAGGTAACTTGGAACTTTTCAAAAACTACACGAATAAGCAGTTGATTAATCCAAGTAAATATAACAAACACTGAGAAAAGGAAGGACAAAACTCAAATGTCTCTTTCCCTCTTCCATTCCAGTTAACAGTAAGACAGTTCTTAAGCAGTTGTGGAGATTCCAATAAAAGATGCTCTCAGAGGTCATTTCCCTCCTATTTGTATTTACCTTTCAATCATTTTTTAATTAAGCGATTACCTGGTCCAATGTAAACCATCCCTTATCTCTCTGCTCCCACCATTCTTAGGAGATTATTTCTCGAGAATAATGGGAGAGTAAGTTACAAAATATCATTAGCACTTCAAGACCAGTGCTCTTTCTTCAAAAGCAAAATCCTAGTGATTTTTTTCTTCTATGTCATGAAAATCAATAATATCTGCAAGCATTCAACATTTTACCAACATTCAAAGTGGAACGGCGAATAGAGTATTCCAAAATGCTCTACTTCTAGTCCTCCGCCTCCAGATCGCTGTCTTTTCCCGCGGCTCCTGCCATGCCCTGCACTTTGGGCTTTTTTCTGGAGCCCTGGAACCGTGTCCAGATGGCCGACATGATGATCCTCGCTGGCATTTGGAGCGGTCACTTCCATGACCTACTCTTTCCCCACTGGCACGAGACCTACAGTGAGGGCCCTGCTCCCAGAAGCCTTCTGCTGAAACACCACCAAGTAAAACATCCTCTATTTATTTTAAGAATGATATGAAATCCACCAAACTGAATGTCTACCAGTATTTTGCTAAATGTTTTCCATTCAAACTCCGACATGAATAGTGTTTAACAGTACATTTAAGAAGGCAATTACTAGCTATTCACTGTAGCACAGAAAATTATTTTAATAAATATTATAGTCTTTATACCAACACAATGTGGAAATATGACCTATTTCCTGTCCCCTTAATAAGCACATTGGTTATTACATATGGATAATAACCATTTATTTATATAGGGTGGAATACTTGTTATCATATGTAGTAATGACTGCCTATAGGATGTTTTTTATAAAAAAATATTATTCTTAATAGAAACTTGGAGCAGAACTTCTTGAAACTAATAATGATAACCAGGGCAGTAGTACATTTTTAAGAAAAGAGAATGGTTGGGAATGGTTGGGGGAGTGTGCAGGGGGAGGGGGATATCAATGTGTCTCTCTCACATCGATGTTTCCCTCTCTCTCACCCCTTCCTCTCTCTAAAATCTTTTAAAAGAAAATGAGAATAGGTTGATAGAGATACTTTAAAAAAATATGACATCAGGTTTTCTATTTTAAAATCCACTGCTTTTTCTAAGATGGCAAACAGAGTTATTTTTTCTACCTTCTGCCAAAAATATGTAAATAATTGGTCTTGGAAGCATATGCTTCATCTCAGCAATATGCTGTTTTCCTTTCTCACACGGGAAGATGGATTTCTGTTGACATGAAGCAACCTAGAAAATCCAGGTTGTCTCCTCTTCAGCCTTTTCTCCTTCTGAGCCATGGGCAAACCCGACCTTGTCAGCACCTCCCGATACATGTAAGAGGATCTGGAATTTTGCTTTGTGTTTTCCAGGTTTCGTGACAGCTGAGTTCACAGTTTTTAAATTCATCAGAAATAGTGCCTCTCTCATGGAAGAGGAAGGGGGTTAGCATGTATTGCGTGTGTACTGTGTGCCAGGCACTGTGCTGGGCATTTTATATCCTTTATTCATTTAGTTTAACAAATAATGTCACCGTTTATCTCTTTTAATCCTGTTATTAAAAAAATATGTCTCTCCCCTCCCACCTATTATTTGTTCTGGAATCAGCCTCATTTATCTAGCGCCATCAAAGTGACCACCAAATGGCAGATGGAGCCTTGGGACATCAGTGTGCCCGGGTTGTATCATCATTTTGGAGCAAGGTGACACTCAATAAAGTTAATGAACCCTGAAAGGTGTGTGATATATTGAGATGATATATA